GTACACTACCATTCAAAAGTTTGGGGTCAGTAAGATTTTTATTTTTTTAAAGAAATTACTACTTCTATTTGACAAGGGTGCATTAAACAGATCAAATTGACAGTAACGACTTACATTGTTACAAAAAAATTCTAATTCAAATAAATGCTGTTCTTTTTTAACTTTCTATGCATCAAAGAATCTTGCATCATGGTTTCCACAACAGTAGTAATAATCAGAAATTGAGCGCCAAATCATATCAGAATGATTTCTTAAGGATCATGTGACACTGAAGTCTGGAGTAGTGAAGCTGAAAATTCACAGGAATAAATTTACATTTTAAAAAATATTAAAATAATTTTTTTTTCATGAAATGGCAATAATATTTACTGTGCTCAATGTTTTTTTTTTTTTTTATTAAATAAATGCAGCCTTCGTATGCATAAGAGACTTCTTTCAAAAATATTACAAAATCTTACCAACGGCAATGTATTTTTTAAATGCATGAACCTAAAAGCAACCAATAGTGAATTAAAAGAATTATAATACAATTTTTTTTAGCATTACTACAAACAATAGATGCAATTTTATGATAAGGCAGTATGTCCCAATACTTACTTACTTACACCTTTGTACTGCAAATCTACAGTATTTTTTTTTTTTTTTATAATTGATGGGTTGCCTAAGCAACTAATCAATTTTCAGTAATTCCTGAGTAATTATTCTGATTTTGGGTTAACCTGATCCCAATAAGATGAGTTGAGGTGTGAACTTGTGTTCAAAAACAGCTAAACAAAAATGCATCAAACTAGAGTCGAGCTCTCTTTAACTTAAAATGATGTATTGAAAACCCTACACTTATGCTGAAAGATACTCAAAAACAGTGGGTTGCAATGTAATGAACAAAGATGTCTGACTGACAGCTAAAGCACAGTATGAAATAATGTATGTGCTTTTCCTATCAACACCAAAAAACACAAAGTAGTGTGTAGAAATTGTCATTGAATCTGTCAATCACCCTGCCACCAGCTCTCCTTCCATCTTCATTCCTACCCACACCATTCTTCATCTTCCTCCTCAATAACTGACTGTATTTATCGGTCTCTCTGCAGTATGAACATGTCCAGCAGTTCTGCTATGATCCAGCAGATCTATCCCTTCCACGATGGCTGGAATATTGCCTGCTTCATCATCCTGCTCCTCTTCATCCTCACCATCCTCTCCCTCGCCACACTGGCGTTCCTCTATGAGCTGCTGGACTGCGGATGCTTCACCAAAACCAAAACCGTTCGTGACCTGCGCCGCCAGAGTGACGAGGTGGTTTAGTTGTAACCATGGTGACAGCGGACACGGTCGCCATAGGAACCCCAACAGCAGATCGGTGGAAAAGGCTGCAGATTTGGACGGAGCTCTTCGCCAGATTGGAGTCCCATAAAACACGCCAGACACATACAGAGACAGAAGCACTCTACTCCCACTAGCTCCAACAGCAATACACAGCACAGGTGTCTCCATAGCTTAAAATCTTAGATGAGATTTACACCAGAAAAAGAGGGAAAAACTAGCTTGTATGTGCACGTCATTGTCTCCTCTGCGTTCAGTATTCCAGTACTATTGTGTAATGACTATATAAAACTGTTGCATTTTTTGTTGAGAGTGTTTACATGAATCTTTCCCTTTGTGTGGAATGACAAAGTTTACATGTCAGTATTATAGAATTAATAAGTATGTATAACAATATGATTCGACAACTTCAAGCAAATATCACACAGTATATTTGGAGTAAAGGGAATGTTTGTATGTGTATGTTTACATTCATTTTTAGGTCAGATTTAATATGCGAATAATTGTTATGTATAACACTTCTAAGCTATATCAAGAAGCACACTAAAGGTCAATTATTGCATCTTTGCAATGCCTTAAAATTGTGTATTTAAAATTATATACCGGTAATAAAAATCACACAAGCACAAGAAATGTGTGGTTCCCATCAGGGTCACAGAAGATATCATCAGCTGCTAAAAATAAATTTTAATCTGTCTACATGCTCAAAAACGTGCAGAAACAGGCCTGTCCTTGAGCTTTGCTTCACCCTGATTACATATAAGAACGAGATTAATAAATCTAACATAAGAAAAAGCAGGACAATATTACTGACCTAGAATACACAAGCCATCATAACCACTAGAGATAGACTGATAATGTTATGATCGATATTTTCTACTGATATCCAGAATTTTCAACCTAGCTGGTTATTGGTTCTTTAATATCAGGCGACAAACAAAAAAAGCAAAGCACTCAACAACAGAATATTCACAGGTATAGTTATTTATTAACTTATAAAGTTGCCAGCCACCGCCATCATTTTTGATCATTTTCACAAAAATGTCATGGCCTCCAGAATATTTTGTTGTATGAATATCTGAACATACAATATGTCAAAAGAAAGAACAGAGCCTCTGCAAACAAACAATATGTTTTATTGTAGTTTCATGCATTCTTTTTTTAATCAACACTTGAATGTGGGTAAGTTTCATAAAAAAACAACATTTTGAACAAAAAGGTGAGAAAATCATGTTTTTGATTCAGAATCAGGATTCAGAACGATGCTCAAAACACAGATGAAGTCGATCGCTACCATCCCTATATGCTGTTTAATGATCGCGTTATTTTTCATATGCATCTGCTTACTTATGCGATCACTTGTTTCTGCTTCTTCGCTGTGTTTTATCTAGATTCAATACTCTTTCAGAAGATGTGTAATAGCGCCTCCTACTGTATAACAGTGAAAACACAAAGACAAAAAATTCGGTCAATGGCGGGGAAAGAGTTAAAAAATATTGTCTGGATAATTACTCAACTTTTAAAATAAGTTATGTAACTCTAAATGTAAAACCCAAAACAAAGATTCAGAATAAATATACACAAAAAAAGCAACAGCAATCATTAGTGTTATTATTTTTATGAATTATTAATATTCATGAATTATTAATACTCCAGTCTTCAGTGTCACATGATCCTTCGGAAATCATTCTAATGTGCTGATTTATCAGTTGTGCTGCTTCATATTTTTGTGGAAACTGTGATTTTTTTTCTTTGAGTTCTTTGATGAATATAAAGTTCAAAAGAAAAAGTAATAACACAACACATCTACTCTCTGACCTGTGCTGTTTTTGGAGGATGATGAGGTCTCTTTGTCTGGTTTGCTCTTTTTCTTCTTGGAGGATCCAGAGGCCTCAGAGGTCGCTGGTCTCTTCTCTACTGCAGGAGTGGACAGCGCTCTCTTTTTAAAGGGGTCATATGATGCGATTTCAAGTTTTCCTTTCTCTTTGGAGTGTTACAAGCTGATTGTGCATAGATAAGATCCCTGAAGTTGCAAAGAATAAAGTCTAAAAACCAAAGAGATATTCTTTATCAAAGTTAAGACTCTGCCACGCCCCCCTAAAACGGCTCGTTCTAACACGCCCCCACATATCTACCTCACCATGTGGAAATATTTGCATAATGCCGCCCAAATGTGCACGCAAAGAAAGAAGGCGTGGTTTCAGTAACCGCAGTTAGCATTGATGCAGCATGTCAGGGAGATGCTGTGTGTTTCAGTGCGAAAGCAAAAGCACTTTATTTGGCCTTACGAAAGTAGATGCATTTAGGAATCTTTAAGATTACAGAACAGCAATGCATTTTATGGACGACCGTTTCATGAACCTAGGAGAGGAGGTAATTCTGACTTTGCTATGACAATCTGGCGCTTCTGAATCAGCTACTGTTTTGTTATTAGTTTAAGTATTTGCGATTGACTGTTCAAATGCGGAGTTTTGCGCATCGTGTGAGT